TTGATACGTCAAACCTTGAAATGTCGTCTACACGTCCAACACAAAGCCCAAGCAAGGACCCTAATCCTTTAAACCCGCCCACAGTTATGTTAATTACATAGTTTTTACATTTTCCCCTAACCTTAAGTAATATGTCCTAGTTCTGAAGTAAATCGTATTTACCCGTATGAATCGTCTTATGTCATTTATTGCCGATAAACAGAATATGCACACTTTCTGAAAGTAATGAGTGATAAGTCACGCACCAAACCTATACTCTTGATATACATGCTGCGCTTACTTAAAAAAACTGTTGGGTTAACAAGATACGTATATTAAAGTGCCATGCTTTCCTGATGTGTTATCATCCTAATTTGAAATAAGGACATAAATAGTTACCACTCATCTTTCAATATTTTTCAAGGTTGGGTTATCACCAACATATTTGAATATATACAACAGCTGTACTTGCTTATCTTTATACTTAAAATCATCAGTGTTGTCTGTCATACAGACCCCGAAACAAATATGTCCAACACAGCCCAATATTTGGCAAAATGAAGAAGGTCTCTCGGCTCCTTTTTATTATATTTTATAACTATTCTTTTATAACTGTTTTTTTCTGTCAAATATGTTCCTTTCAGAGATTAGATGCTATTCTAGCATCAGGTCTGTGGTACGTTCACTACATCAGAGTTGACTTTAAAACGATATTTACATATATAAATACATACAGAGGAAATGCTTAGCATCTACCTTTTAAGGAAGAGTGCAGGACGACTTGCTTTATACAGATATGTCTAGACATATATGTATGAACATTTGGATGAATATAGATATACCTCCTTATAGATAGTGTTCGTAGATGATTGTAGAACGTGCATGAAGAAAATGGAATAATTATGAGAGTAATCGGGTTAATACCACGTTTAACAATATTCAGCCATATTGCAATATTGGTTTCCAACATACAAGACGGACCATGAAATTATGACTTGAATTTGGAACTGGCTTTCTGGTGTGATGTAACACCCCATAATATCCTGTAGAAAAAGAGCTTAAAGCACGAATGTTAATTCATCAGTATATATGTATTTTGCGCAAAAGGATATTGTAGGATCGACGCTGACATGCGCATATACTAGTAACCTATTCACCATTGCTGTAATATTTAATTTATTTGTATTTTGACACATATCGATAGGAACATGGAGAGTCTGTCTGAAGATATATAGACACGCATTGGATCTTTTGGATAGTTGTACCTCACGGCTAGACTAACGCTCAGTCTCTGAAAATATATTACTTTGATTAAAACGCGAAACTATATTTAAATTTAAAGGAGCCCCAGTGGGATGGACATTTCAGCCTGAACCTGTTGAACATCTAGGCTTGTTTCATTTGGGGCTATAGCATTGCAGTGAGGCCTGGGCGGAAGAAAAAAGCTGTTTACACCCATCAGATTCAAGTCACTACTTCTCTCTCCAAACGAAAATAAAATACGAAAAATGTCAGAAGTGTTTCATCTTAATCCTTCTAATTTTCTATTTAGATACAAGTTTTAACTTTAAAGTAATTATATGTTTCTCATGTTAAAAAAATGTATTATTGGTATCTGTGGTGCTGGTACCATTGTGTAGCTTTTGTGGAGTTGCTATGAATATCAAATACATGTCTTGAAATATGGACTTGTAACAGAACCCATCATTGAACCATTTGCAGTCTAACCCATCTAATTGCCGTGTATGGACATATTATCCATCTACTTATACATATTTATTATGGACATGTACATAATTTCATTGCAACATATTATTTAAAAATATACCCGTGAAGATCGGGGTTAGAATAGGCCTTCAACAACCCTTGCTTGTACAAAGGCGACTCACATCATCGGGTGGTCAGGCTCGCTGACTTGGTTGATGCATGTCATCGTATCCGAATTGTGTTGATCGGTGCTCTTGATGATCATAACTGGATTGTCTGGTCCAGACTGGATTATTTACGAACCACCGTCATATAGCTGGTATATTGCTGAGAGCGGCGTTTAACAACAAACACTCAAACAAAAACTATTATTAAACACCTTCCAACAATGAGAAATTAAACTTATATTTTCTATATATTCTGTTATATTTATAACATAATTTGATTCATAATTCAATTATTGCATTGCTTTCTTGTCTGTCATTCAATGTACATGTTCAAACCCCTAAACTTTGAATATTTGATTTTTTTCAATAATGGTTACGTTAGTGAGTTGCCTAGATCTCTCGTTACCTTCTCACACGAACAGATTAAAATAATTTATTTTAACTATCATATTTCAGTTTATTTAATTCATAATACGAAATTAATAATTCATTTATCACAGTATAGATCATATTCGTTTATATCACTGTCTGGTGTTAAGGTTTTATTGCAGAAATTATAATGAATTCAAAATGTAGAAAGATACACAATTTGCCATTATTTGACGTTAATACTGTACAAAGTATAATATAATGATGAGAATTCCTGTAACGGACAGTATTTAAGAAAGAAATATTAGTCGATTAGTCAGATATGCCCTTCAGTAGTATTATTGTATATCTCCAGAGAGAGGTTTACATTGTAGTTCTCATTATTTGTGTATAATTCAACAAGCAAAAGTAGAAAATATATATTCTATCATAACGAAAGAATACAGAGTATACAATAACTCGCAATTGTTCAAAAGACACAAAATCACAAAAACATATCTTATATAAACAGAGGTGCTAATGGTTTAATCTCTACATTGTGCCCATGTTCGTGAGCCCTTGTTCTATTCAGCCAACAGCCCAAACCCGAAACAGCCCATATCCGATTACACTGACCCAGTCCTCCAGTTCTCAATGCGATACTGTCGCTCTTGTACGTCCCCCAGTCCATAGAGAACTTAAAAGGAATCCAACTCAAGTCTAGAACTATTTGTCAAGCCGAGATTGCCTCAATGCTATCAATGAAAGTAAGCGTTAATAAAAAATATTGTTCTTGGCTGCTTCAGATTATATTTTGTAGATACATATTTTTAACTACGAAAATTGTACTGACACCGGTGTCCCGGTATAAACACTCCCCCGTACAAATTCTCCCCCCGGAGATTTTATACCGGTACAGATTCTCCCCCGGAGAATCTGTTGTGAAATAAAATCTCCCCCGGGCGGATATATTTCGCGCCCCCCTCAGTATAAAGTCTCCCCCCTGCTTATTCGGTTTGTTGCAATGTCTTTCAGTACTATATTCTTTAAATAGTTATCTTTAATGTAAGGAGGGTTACTTTGAAAATATACTAGCCACATAAAGAAACTGTGCACGGAGAAAATATATTCTGGACTGAAATACAACACAGCAAGAACAAAATGATGCAGACGCTGTAGCAGCTGAATGATCGGACCATAAGAAAATGTCAATGGGACCTGAACAACATCTGTTACGATGACGTCAGAAGATCAAAATGGAGTAGGGGGTCAAACGACAAAATCACAAAGTCAATAACGGGTATGACCACCCTGTGCGTGAATCACAGCAATGCATCGGCGACGCATGGAGTCCACCAAATGGGCAAGGAAGGCCTGGGGAATGGCCTGCCATATCCTCCTCAAATCCTGTGCCAAGTCACGGACGTTATCTGGAGGATGTGGAAGCTGACGCAGACAGCGCTCCATTTCATCCCACACATGCTCTATTGGGGAGAGATCTGGAGAATTTGCAGGCCATGGCAGTAACATGACATTGTTATGGTGAAGGAAATCCATTGCGACCCTAGCCGTGTCCTGTTGAAATGTCAATCCCGGGCCATGACGTTGCAGGAAAGGAATGACTTCAGGCCTCAGAATCTGATCTTTGTAGCCAACACCGGTGGGATTGCCCTGAACAACCACCAAAGGGGTTCGGTGCCGTGCTGTTATCCCACCCCAAATCATCACAGAGCCACATCCAAAACGATTTCTCTCCACAATACAGTTGCGTGCATAACGTTCTCCCAAACGCCGGTAGACACGTTGGCGCCCGTCACTGTGGGAAATGTTGAACCTCGATTCATCTGTAAAGACAACATTTCTCCACCATATTCGAGGTTGGCGAACATGATTTCGACACCATCTTAGACGTTTGACTCGATGACGGTGTGTCAGGATGGGACGTATGGCAGGGCGTCGTGGTCGAATCCCGTACTGACGTAAACGATTCCTGACAGTGTTGGGATGGATACGGCGCAGTCCAGGAATTGTCTGGGACGTCGTTACTGCCGTTTGGAACCTGTGTCGGAGATGTGTAACTCGAATCCATCTGTCCTGTCTTGGCGTCGTTGCTCGGGGACGTCCTGAACGTGGTTGGTCGGCAACGTCATTTGTGTTCTGATAACGCCTCACCAATGCCGATATCGTGTTACGATGGCATTGGAAATGTGTTGCCACCTGTTGTTGCCTCATTCCCGCTCGGATCATTCCAATGGCTTCATGACGCTGTGCAGCTGTCAATCTTGGCATGATTTGCTTGTGATATGCTTGTGTCTGCGCCTGAGAATTTTTGAATTTTTGAATGACCACAGATCATGCTTTCCAAAGTGACAGCGAATTTTGAGTTGCACATGCTGTGTACAGCTGCACAGGATGCACGTGCAGTAACACATTGCACGTCCATAGGCCCCCATCAATGACGTCATATCGCATGGCACGTGCACGAGCGTTTGAATGTCTCCAATAATTGCTGTGTTCAAACCTATATTTCATATATGGACGGTGTGCCCTTATATCTATATTTTCTCCGTGCACAGTTTCTTTATGTGGCTAGTATAGATTATGAAATATGGTCATAATGAATTGATATTTCAGCATATGTTATTTGGTAACTGTACCTTCCATCCTAAAATAATTATAAGACATAATCATACCAAACAAATTTGAATTAAAAATAACTTAATGTGACAAATACATGTACGGTTACTGTTGTAACTGAAATTCAGAAATCTTATTAATCCTCGCAAACATTCGGTTTTAACACGTAAAAACTGTCAACATATCCACGCGCGCATCCAGCTCAGGCTGTCTGTTATACTCTGATTTAAGATCTAAAATATATTCCTTAATACAGGCTACGATTTGAAAATGGTATCGGTGTAGGTGAGGTGAGGTGAAATGGGGTTTAACGTCGCGTCCAAGATTATTGCACTTATATAGCGACGTGCATGCACGCGTGTGCGTGTGTGTGGCTGCTTGTACTAGTCCGGACTGATGCCGACTTATATGCTAGTTCACTGAGATACCATGCCGCAGTTGAATGAATACCCCACTCATACACAGTATACTGACTCCGAGCCGACCAGTCCTTGCTTTAAACATACAACATCATAACTATCTAATTCAGCAGTGATTAAATCTACTGTGTCTTTAAGACAGCGTACCTTTAGATGTATACTCTTTAAATCTGGACTATGCAAAGGTCCTGGATTCGGACTATTTTATCGCAGCAAAAGAGAAAAAGTAAAACTAAGAATGATAATCGGAAATTTTATAAGCAAAGTAACCCAAAATATAGAGAAATGTGTATCATCTTCCCGAAATGATTAGCATGTAGAATAAATTCTAAAACACTTACCGCCAGCCTGTATTGAACAACATCAACCGGCATCGTCAAAGCAAAGTGCACATGTAATTGTTACAATCGGGCTGGCGGTGAATCTTAATGAAAAACACCTTGTTAAAAAGACACACCGAAACTGATTTGCATAACTGATGACCACAACATATTGAAAAATATCAAAACAGTAAAAATGATACAGTATAACCTCATAATCAATCGCCAGCTGTCAATATACAAAACAGAATAACACATCAAGATGACAGTTTCCATGTAAAGATTAAGTATTTCTAAGCAAATTATCTAGATATTGTGCATATCTTTAAGCTGCTTAGAAATACTTAATCTTTACATGGAAACTGCCATCTTGATGTATTATAATGTATTGTATATTGACAGCTTGTGATTAATTGTTACCAGATGGCTCCAGCTGGTGTAGCAGACGACACACTTTCCAACAATGGGGAAAAGGGTAAAAATATGAGTAGGCTGGTTATCATCGAGCAGACGGCAGTCTAAGAGGTATTGAAAATACACACACTTAATTCTCAACCTTATCTAATGTTAATTCAACAATTTAGCAGTGGGATATTCTGTTAATAATCTCTCATAATTCTATTGAATGGTTCTGTACATTCTATCAATGTTTATTTGTACAAAGCTGTTTTATGTATGTACAGAAGTGGGACATTAATACATTATTGTCTGTCTGTCTACAATGTATACCTTACAATTTAACCGATTACACGCGCATGGCAAGTATTTATATAAACGACCGAAAAGGGGGGGGGGGGGGGGGGGGGGGTATTTTGGGGGGAGATTTTATTTCGTAGGTTGGGGGAGAGTATATTTCGAGAGAGGCGGAACTGTACCGGTATAAATTCGCCGGGGGGAGATTTTATTCTGGGGGCGAATATATTTCGTGACAGGGTCCCGGCACGCAATGACAAGTGAGGATGCCGCGCTACACTATAATGGAAATTATAATCAAGTTGACTAGCGTGTACATTACTACAGTGAACATGTACATGATCATGCCCTCATAATCAAATGTCGTAATATCAAATAATAATATATTATTATGTGATGAATTTGACTGGATCAGTGGTAACATGTGATATTAATATTCCATCAATTTCTTTCCTGGTTGGTCTATCCATGTCTACAAAATGAAAATAATGCAATTAAAAAGGAGCACAGAACAATTCTTAATTTCAGACTAGAGCTGTGGAAATCTAGACTTTCCAAATCATTATAGACTTGAGTTGGTCTCATTTTTTACATTATTCTCTTTGGTCTACGTCACAGCTCATGCCACACAATAACAAGACCATTTAGTCCCCCGGCCGGCGCCTGGATTTTGGTTATATCATCTAACATGGTCAACTCTGCTCTTAAGTAGACAAGAACCTAATTAGCGAGTGGTCCTTTATGATCATACTGGGTCTTTGTCCTTTGCTTGAACAATAATGTAACTTAACTTCTTTTATTGAGTCGTTTATTTGTAGATAATTTAGTACACAGATAATTCATCTAACATGGTAATTATAATCATAACTATTTTTCAATAATAATGGTATGCACAGTTCTTAATGTTGATCTGTAGACGGATTCCCCAGAGGCTATATTGCATCATATAGAGTACTCATGGATGTGTATGCCACTGTACCAAATTAGTTATGATCATATTCTATATTATTATCCCATTCAGACCCTACATTTTAACAAGAACACACATAGATATAGTTCAGAAACACTAGACTGAAATTAATCCAATATGATTCCAAAATTATTAGATATATTTATGATTAATTTCATTGTGTAATAAGAAAACAATTGTCAAATAAATGGATTTTCATGTGAATAAAATCCAGAGGCCAAACGTCGGAACCAATGACAGACCCTATCATTAAACACGATTGTTAAGGATACTGGGCGTTCCAAATTTCCGCTAAACCACCGTTTCACAATGGGAAAATACGGGACATAATCGGCGATATTTACTTCATCAAATGAAGATCGTATTATGTATACGATTTCGTGTTAACAGTGACCTGACACGAAATATTAACGCACGTATCACTGTCGAAAATTTAGTGTGTGTCATTGTTTACATTTCACTGATTTGAAGAACACTTTCGAGTCTCGAAACAGCTTAAATAATGTTTTCCTTCACTAAAAGTAACAACGGACGTTATTCTCGTTCATGAAAATGCTAAGAAAAAATATTTAACAACCCGTTCTAGCGTTTTTCTATAGTATATACATGGCGTGTCCGCCATGTTTGTTCGTCTAGTGGAGACGGCCATTGTGCAGTCATTGCCTCGGTTAGTGAAGCGCCAGCGCAGCATATCCGGGGAATCAGGCTCCTTCAATTACCCAATTGATTTGATTAGAATATACTTGCGTCAGTGTATTTTATTAACGCCCCAAACCGTAATTTAAACACATTTAATAACAGATCATATACACGCATGGTGCCTTCACTTACTACTAGCTTTAATAGGCCATTCGGAATAAAATAGTTCCCAAAAAGCGAGGAACATCCCTTTTAGTCTGTTTATAAGAAATGTATTCCAAACAATATCCTAAGTAGATGAGAAGATCTGTTAAAGAAATTGCCTCAGTAAGTCAATCACAATGACAGAGCGTCGTAATACATTAACATCAAGTACAATACGTCAAAATGGCCGACACGATAAACGTGACGGGAGATATTTCCGAAGTTGTTAATAAACCTGTGGTTATTTCAAGCTTTTGTCATCACTGATCAATTGGCCAATCATTGAAAGGTGATTGTAAAGATGTGTCAAATAGATACTAAGGTAAACTCATAGATTGCTGTAGATTGTCACTACGATAGTTTGGATGTTTTGGTTTTTTTCGTTTTTATTTCTCTAGGATGGGTTGTAGCGAGGTATCCTTAAGCGGGCTATGCAACCAAACTCTCTGACTTATCCCAGACTAAGCTAAGACGCTAAGTTCAAAATTAAAGGGTCTAAATGACGAGAAACAACGCATCTGTTTGAATTCGTACATGTACCAGGGAATTCTCAGGGTTTTCCCCAGGAATGTGGAAGTGGTCAGTGTTTATGTCATTTCAGGAATACAGTCACGTGAAAAACGTCATGTGTTCGACCTCTCCTCCAATGGAAAAGCCGTATATCGTGTAAACTTCACATAAAAAAATAGTTACTGTTATAACCAAATGAAACACAACCTATTATCCGATAGAGGGAACTGTGCATAGCGGAGGGATATGTTATCACAATAAACTTGGTAACATGGTTTGATTTGACTTCTTGGCGCGTGTCTGAATTCCTTTAACATGTTACATATCCTAAAACTGGCTTATCAGCTAATCTCGCTGCACTACGCGCGACAGATACTAGAGCAAGGCATGCCAGAAATACGAAACCTTATGCTTACCGAAAGGATGCCTTAGGCATCATGTGCGTCGGGGGACCAGCGCCATCTCATTGGCTGTTAACAGTTGTACAAGGCGGGGCACAAAGCATCGTTTTTCCGTCCATTTTACGCTTGAAAAACTCGACCCTTTTCCGGACACTTTCTAGACGCTCGCCAATTAATCAATTTTCACCAATGACCATATACGAAAAAAACCGACGTTTTCGTGTTTGCAGTGGATCTGCAGATAACCAGACAATCAAGTGATGGACAAGAAATCCAGTCACATGATAACGAATTCACTGATTTTGTTCATACTGAAAACGATACAATCAAATTGAATTGAATCTGTCGTGTACAGAGATTATTCTGCTTATAAGTAAAGAAATAAATTGTTTTAAATATATGTTCGTTTTGCAACATAGGAGGGGAGCGGGGGCGGGGGCGGGGTCGGGGGCGGGGACGGGGACGGAGGCAGTTTCTGTCTCAGCCCAAACACTTTTTTTGTAGTTGTCTCAGCATATTTGATAAATGCTATTGAGCTAAAAATGAAATTCGGGGACTTCAGAACACCGGCAGAAACATCGACCTATTTCAAATAAATATAAAACGTCAATGCCAGAGAAAAACCTGTCTCGATTATCCAATGAAACAGATTCCATTGACTGTAAAAAAAAAGCTGGTGAAAATTATTTGAAAGGGTCACTGAAAATCAGTGATAACACCAGGTGTTTGACATGAATAAAGAAGGAGTTTATACATAAAATATAGTGAAACGCCATTAAAATATAGTTTTGATAGACAATGCAAAATATATACAGATAACATAATTACATGTATAAAATTTCTGCGTTTTAATATTGACCAACTCGGCAGATAATAACTGGTCAGCTGACGTACTTATATAAGCAGCCTAATTGCTGACATAGCAAATGTCAGGTACTTATATAAACAGCATAATTGCTGACATAGCGACTGTCAAGTTAATCAGACCTGACTAGCTCAGCAGAAATAAGATCGGTCAGCTGCCTTTAAAAGCAGGCAGGTTGTGTTAACTGTAACTCACACCTCACTATCAAATCACTGCCCCCACAGATACATCCTCACACAACAGGCAAACAAA